GTGTCACCGTCAGGGACTCCAGCGCTGCACCGAAGCCAGAAGAGAGGGAGCAAAACCCAACCCAGGCCGAAAGCAGCAGCCAAAACAAAACCCACCCTTTTTATTGCGAAGGAGATTTTATTTTTATTGTTACTATTCTTTTTTATTTTTATTTTTTCTTCTTTAAACCCTCAAACGTAGGGGCGCAAGCAGAGTCGGGGCAGGGGCAGAGGCTCTCCGGGTTATTTATTCTCTCTCGCCCCGCAGAGGTGTCTCCTCCGGCCGCCGGCTCACCATGATGTTTCGAGACCAGGTCGGCGTGTTGGCCGGTTGGTTCAAGGGCTGGAACGAGTGCGAGCAGACTGTTGCGCTGCTCTCGCTGCTCAAACGCGTCAGCCGGACCCAAGCTCGCTTCCTCCAGCTCTGCTTGGAGCACTCCCTGGCAGATTGCACCGAGCTCCACATCCTCGAAGGGGAGGCCAACAACCCCGGTGAGTCGATTTTGCGTTTGTTGGTTTGGTTTAATTTATTGTTTCTTTGCTGTGAACCTCCTCTGGCGATGCTCTGGTACAGGCAAAATTTAAAACAAAACCAAACCTGCAACGAGCCGCAAGAAATCAAGGGAGATCGGGGAGCAGGGGCTCCCCAGCTTGCTTGCGTTAACAGCTTCTCTTCTTACATTTTATTTTTTGAACGGGTGATAGCTTATTTCGGTTTGATTTTTCACAGCAAACTACTCGAATCTATGGCGTGCTGTAACTACGGTAGCATGAATGATTGCTGGTGGTGTGGGTTGGTTTTTTTTTTTTCCTCCCCCCTGGCCCCCCCTCCTTCCTCCTTCCATGCAGTTTCCTGTGAAATAAGTAAGTCAGGTCACGTAGAGTCTGGATTTTCTAGGCTTCTTTTGGACAACGTGGCTCACGTTGCTTTCTGCAACATGCGGAAGAAACCCATCGCTACCTCAGACAAACTGTTATTTTGTAAAGGTCTGGGGGTCATGCTATTTTTTTAATTTTTTTTTTTTTTTTTTTTTTAAATGTGGCAATTCCTATTTCATCATTCAGATCCTGTTTGGACGCATTTTTTTTCCTGCGGCTCTGAATACCCTCTTGTGTTTCAGTGGAGCTCTGAGAAAATACGGGTAGACCGCTTTATGCTACTGAAGTACAGGATGCATTGCAGAAAATGCGTGTGGCTGCGAAAGTCTTACTTTGGTTTTATTTATACACCGTTACAAGTTACTTGACTCCACAGGAGTAAACGGAGTTGGGGCAGGACGAAAATGGCACGAGCAGCGTGCAGATTGCGCCGTGTGTTAACGTACTTATTTCTGGGTGTGCACGCGTTACAAACACGTATGTGTGTGTATGTGCCCAGGTATATGCAGGGGCGCAAGTGACTTTCAGCAGAGTTTCTGAAATCCAGAGTAAGAGTAGGGAGGGTGAAATCTCTCTGAGCTGCATGCTTATGTTGCCCCAACCCCAAAAAAAAAAAAAAGAAAAAGGCAAAGCAGAACCTCCCTGCTTCGTCCCTTTTGTTTAAAACCTCGGGGTGTGGGGGGGATCCCCAGGAGCTCTCGCTTTTCAGGCTCTGCGTGTCAAAGCGGTGCCAGGGAGCGACTTTTGCGATGGGTGGAAAATCTCGCGGGGACTGGCTCAGGAACAGATTTCCCCCCGCCACCACCTTTTCCCAACCCCAGATCCCGAACAGAGCCCCTGGTGTTTGACGGGATGGGAGGAATGCAGGGTCCTGCTCCAGCTGTTCCCTATTAGAGCACCGATCTGGCAGGATTTGGCAGCTGCCCGTGCTGCCATTTGATGACAAGGTCCAGCGCGACGCGGCGCTCCGCCGAGGATGGATTTAAGTCCTTCTGCAGGAAAACCGAGCCCGGGGGCTGCTCCGGCATGAAGGGATCTGGGCTGGCTGGCTGGGAGGGGGGAAGCGGGTGGAGGGAAGTGAGGCTGAAATTGGCTCTTCCCTTATATAGCTTGCAGGAATGAGAGGGAGGAATGCTGCCGAGTGCGTCTGGGCGAAATACTGCTGGTTTTATAAACAGCTGAAGGGCTGAACCTCATCCATTTGGGTGGAGAGGCCCCGGGGAGAAGGGGGGACATGGGGAGGGAGAACGCTTTCTAAACTCAGCTGCTCAGGGATGAACGTGCAGCCTCCCGTGCCGGCCTCGGCACAGGCTTGCTGCGATTCCCACTGCGAGTCAGCGTGAGCCAGCGTATTTTTGATTTTTAATTGTTTATCTCTGTGGCAATTCTTCATTCCGATTGTGGTTTTGGTGGTGGCCATGTTGCCTGGGTTGGTCAGGTAATTGGGCAGAGGGGGTTGATTTACCTCCTGACCGCAAAAAAAGGTAAATTATGAAGGGAAGAAGCGTTTCAGAGTCATCCCAGATACGAAGTCGGGTACAGCTGTGTGGTGGCAGTTGCTTGTGGAAAGCGGGGGCTGGACCCTTCCCATCTCTACTCATGCGAGCAATCCCTGCTTGCCCCTGTAATCCCGTTGACCTTGCTTGGTGCAAGGATTTCTCCTGCCAGCGAAGCTTGGCATCCAGCCTCCCGCCTGTCCCTCAGCACCTTTGTGGAGCTGCCTGCGTTTTCACCTGATGCTTCTTCCAAAAATTCCTCCTCCAGCAAAACCTGGATCCAGTGAGTTCCTCTTTCTCACCAGACACCCTATGGGATGGACGTACTCACACACCCAGTGGAGCAGGGCACCCGCTTTTCTGAGCTGCCACCATCCTGCTGTGGTGGAGGGAAGGGTAGCTGAGGTTTGCAACCAAGAACTGTTGTGTGGTAGCTTTTAGTCTCCAGTGTTGAGGCTCTCTTCCTCATAAAACCACCTGTAACTTCTAAATTGCTCCCATTCAGCACACACTTTGCAGCCTCACGTTTGTTGTTTGACTGGCAGTGGAATCACACTGAGTTCTGAAAACCAGTGACATCTAACCTTGCGTTCCTCTTTACTGTTTGAATCCTGTAGTTTGCTTAACTAATTTGGACTCAATTCCCTCCCAGGCTGGTGACTGGTGTGTTTTCCTAGTGTTTGCTGACTAGAAAATGGTGACTTGCTGCTTGTAGGTGTCCCACCTGCATCCTCGTTGGAGTTGGGGATGTGGCGATGGTGGTGTGTAAGGGACTTGCGGGGTGGTGGGGCTGGACAGCCTACGTGGGACATGGGACCTGGCTGTAAGATGTGGTGTGGCCACTGTCAGTGGAGCATGGGTGAAATCCTCCATCTGGCGAGAGGGCTCACCGTGAGTTAAGCGATACTGGTCTGAATGGTGCTGGCACAAGTATTCAAATTGATCTAAATGGTGGGTTCTCATGATAAGTGAGTGATTTTGCACATGCAAGACCTGTTGCTTGTCCCAGCCTGACTGGAAAGGTGGGAGAGCTTGAATGTTGCCCCTAGTTCACGGCTGTTAAAAGGAGGTGACAGCTCTGCTGTCTTCCTTAGTGTCTGAGCACCATTCTTGGCAACATCATCACCGATAACTGAGATCAGGAGGGAGCCCAAAGGAAGACCAGAGTGTGAAATCCTCACTGACTGGTGGAGCTGGGCTTATGAGCCTTCAGATGTGTGGACCAAGCATGGAGGAAAACTACTCTCAACAAAGGTGTCCAGGTTGTTTCTTGCCTGGTAGACTCCAAATGAGAGGACTGCCTTATAGCAAATGAGAAGGGAAAACCTCAAAGCAAAAAAATAACTCCCTTTAACTAGTTAATTGGTATGGAGAAGCAAGTATTATTTATTTTGAAAGTGCTCTGTCTTCTTTTTTTTACCGAGTGTAAGGGTATTTTGGATAACGACAGCCAAGCCCTCCTCGTTAGGACAGCAAACCTGATGTGGCTCTGCTGTGCAGCCATGTATGACCCTCAAAAAGCCCTGAGGAGCCTCCTGCTTCTGCGGCTCTTTGAGTACGTACTCGGGCACGGAGGGGTGGACGTAACGTTGCCCACCTCAGATGAGAGACGTCTTGCAGAAAGCTATGCTGGTATCTCGGAGCACACCAGAGGTGTGGTGACTACCTGTGGTGTGGGGGCTGTGCAGATGGCTGCGAGACCACCTGCAATCCGTAGTGCATTTAGAGGTGCTGCTTGATTATATAGGCAGAATAGAAGTGAGAAGCACTTCTTTATTAGGTGATTTCTTCATTAGGTGAAGCATACGGCTTGTGGTTACCCTACATGGTGGCTGTGAGTAGCCTCACGGAGCTTCAGTGGATTAACTGCTGAAGAATGTGGGTTGCTGCTAATTCAGTGTGAGTGGCCTGCCATGCATGGAGAAGAATATGGAAACCATACTATCCGTGCACAGAAATAGAAGTTTCAGGTATTACATAGCACTATTTAAAAGCCTGCTACAACTTCCTTCCTTCCTTCCAGCCTGGCCTTACCGGGCGGCTTCTGTCCCAGCTGCTCAGAGCCGTCAGGACATGGCGACCTCCTCTGAGCCACCGGTAAAGGTCAGACAGGAGTGAACATGCTCCGTGGTGGGACCAGGACCAATGTTCTTCCTGTGCCCACTGTCTGGGGCTGACACACTGAGGGGTGCCAGGTATGGCTGGTCTTTGGGGGACAGACCCGATGGGGACATGGGGGGCTGCCGTATCCACAAAACACGGTCTATGGGCTTTTGGTGTTGAGTGCAGGATGTGCTGCTGCACTCACCTGCTCTGGCATTTCCTCTGTGGTGACCAGAGATCTGACTGTTTTGGCTTGTTGTTTTTCCAGAGTAGTTCTACATCCAACCGGCCTCAGCTTTGGGGCTGCAGTGGGTGACAGAGCCCTGGCACAGGCTGCCCGGGGAGGTTGTGGAGTCTCCTTCTCTGGAGACGTTCAAAACCCACCTGGACACGTTCCTGTGTTGGACCAGATGATCTCTAGAGGTCCCTTTCAACTGACAACGTTCTATGATTCTGTGATTCTATGATTCTACTCTAGGTGATCCTGCTCTGGCAGGGCAGTTGGACTAAATGATCTTTCGAGATCCCTTCCAGCCCTTAACATTCTGTGATTCTGTGAATGTCTTCCTCGCTCCTGCAGTCTCTGCTGGTCGATGGAGATGCCCAAAGGCTCCCGTGGGTCCTTCAGGCATCCCAGTGCACGTCCACGCCGATGGTGGCAGAGTGACAGCTTTAAATTCTTGGTCTTGAAGGACAACAAGCTTTCTTTGCCCTATGCACAAGACATGAGCTACTTCACGTGTTAAGGCCAAAATCTTTATTTCGTTTTGGCAGGCTGTCAAATATCACAATAAGAGCATTCAGATGACCTAGATTTCTTGTCCTGAGAAGGACCAGCCAGAGGAAGAGACTGGGGTTGCAGGGAGCAGTAATGTCTTTAATTAGACCAAGTGATGCAGCTGGAAAAAATGGCCAAGCGCGAAGGTGCACCAGCTCAAAGGAGGACTTGTGTGGTTGTGGGATGCTTTTTCTGCCCCCCGCCCGCCAACTCTACCAACTGGTCTATTAAAAGGT